TATAGAGAGAGAGAGAGAGAGAGAGGGAGAAATAGATCCGAATTTTTAATCGATAATTTTTTCGAACCGACGATAATGGAGATTCGAACCGATAGCCGAATGATTTGTGGACGAGGGAAGGATGAACGCAGGATGGCGAGGCCAGTGAACTCGTGTCAACGTGTTTGGGTCAAAAGTATCGCCGTAAAATCTTTAGAAGGTTTGCCGGATTCGTTATCATCACGAGATATTTCCGTGCCGTGTGGGTCATCGGGATCCTCGATCATCCATTTCGAATTAACGAACGATAGAGTGGTATGCCACCATATTAAAAATTCTTCTGGATACGCACGCACGATTCCGTTGAATATTCATTCCTCGTTGACCTCGAAGCAACAGTATTAGATATGCTTTTGCATATCTATTTTTATACACACGTTTTTTTTCTCTTCTTTTTTTTTTTTTTTTTTATTATATATATATATCTTCGTTATCAGATGCTCACGAATATACACGATGTGTATGTATACGACCACGCAAGAATCGAAGATCGCGTAAGTGAGAGAAACGCTTGACCAACCGAGCTTTCGACTTGAACTGATTTTATCTGTTAAAAATCGTGACGCGTTATTCGAAATATATCAAAGCCGTTGAATGGGTTTTAGTTAAAGATAAGACCGATTCAACGTCTATTTGCGAAAGATAAAACGCGTATAAATAATCCAAGAATAATTCGACTCGTAACTCGGCGACAGGTATAATAAATCTCTTCTATCCCTATCCCGATCCGACGGGATACTTATTATTACTGTAACTTGGGACGATCCAAAGTTGAGAAAGAGACCGACCGTGTCAAATTTTTCCTCGATTCGAATACAATGATACTCGGTCGAAGGGAGCTCGATCCTCTCAAAATAAAAGGGCGTCAATTTGCTGCCGAAAAACAGGGTTCCCCAAAGGCCACGATGCAAGGGGACGATAAAAGGGAGGGAGTAGTCGTGGCACAGTCGAGGCCGATGAACCTTTTTCCCTCTAAGCTCGCCAGGTATACATCCCCCCGGCGTGTGCATATCCCTCGATCGATCCCCCCGTATATCTTCCAAGATATGATCCCGATCGGACAGCGATCTTAGCCTCTTCTGACCTTGACCACTTAGTTCTGGTAGCGCGTATATATATATATATATTTTATTATATATATATATATATATATGGAGAAGGGACGAGTCTCTCTCTCTCTCTCTCTCTCTCTCTGTCTATGGCGAAGAAGAGAGAAACGAGAACAGCTTTAACCTTGAGAACAGAGTCCTGCCAGTCTCTCTCGTTTGCCGAGATCCCCGATTGAGTTTGCTCGCGACGCTCCTTGCTCCTTCCAGCTCCTCGAGCGGAGGGCCTGGTCGAATTAACAGGGGGAGAAGGAAAGGGGGCGGAAAGGATAGGAGGGAGAGGGGTGGGTGGTGATCTCAGGGTCCCGGAAATACGGTGGGGATACCCTGGCCGTGGTCCGGACGAGGCGCGATAGCCAACGTTTTCCGTTGTAAATTTCCCCAAAGCGCGAGTGGGACGTAAATCGATCAGACACTGGCTTTGCCTCGCTGTGGATGAGGTTTTGTTCGTTTTTGGGCCCTGCTCCTGTACAAGAGGGAATCGAGGGGCCTGATGAGTCACGGACGGTGCCCCGCGGCGAGGGTCCCGCCGGTTCTCAACCTCTCCACTCTTACGAACTTTTAATGCGTCTCTTCCTAAGAAATAAAATCTTTTATTAAATTTAGAGATCGAAAGAGTAAGCTTCTTCTCTATTCATCCCCGTTCAACAAATCTCGAATCTAATCTCGAAATAATAACGATCGGTAATATTGGAACTAAAAATTATCCTATCGCTCGTCATAGTCATAGCTAACCATAGTAAAAGTGTTCCGTAATTTTCCTTGGAAAAAGTCGTTTCGCCTGCCGCGAGATAATGCGTCCCCTCCGCGAGAGGAGAGAAAGCAATCGCATCAAGACGAAAAGCAAATATTTGACCGCGTTGACAGCCACACTGAATCTCACGATCCGACTGCTCGCAACTGTTAGCGCGAGCTATATACACCCATCGAGAGATAACCGAAGGAAAGGCAACGGCTGAGAACCGGCCGACGATAGCCAGGGGTTCGGGTACGTTAGGAACACGTGCAGTCTCGAACGGTCCAGGTCCCCCCTGTAAACGTGTTCGCGTTCAGATGGTACCGTACGGTTGTGTGAGTTGAGATATAGGAGGCTCCCTCCTCCCCCACCCCGCGCACAGCCGGGCCTTCCTTCTTCCTTCTCCCTCCTCCGCCACCCTCCGGACCCCGGTGTGCCCCTAAGTTATATTCGAAAGGGGAGATTTGTATTTGTGCATTCGACGTATTGTTTGTGTAGGTTGCCTCCCCTGGCAGGTTAGCCACCTGTTGACTAACCTGAACCTTAGGTTTCTGCCCACACAAACCCCACGACGGCCGAGACGACGATAGTCCGGACCGATGTGTTTTTAAACTACCCCCCTCCCCTTTCTTAATCTTTATTTTGCGGCTATCGTGGGGTTACAGACCTCTTCCACCGGACCAACGCTCCCACTTTCTCGCAATTTCGAATTGATCTCGACTTTCGATTAAAACAGGAATAATACTCGAGCCAATTCGAACTGGTGGAACTTTGATTTATTTCGTTTTTTTTTTTTTTTTTTTGGTAACTATCCTCCTCGTTTAATTTTTCGCTCCATTTTCATATTTTTTGATCGTTTCTTTTTCAATCACGAGGATATAATACTCGTGGTGCATTGATTTTTTTTTTTTTTGAAAAGTCTAGTTAATCTCAATCCATATTCCGATATTCTAACATTGAAATTTTCGAACGGATCATTCAGAGATCATTCGAAATGCATTCGTTGAAGAATTCCCGATCGTTGGGGAAAAAAGGCGGAAGATTTCCCGTTGTCGTTGAATAAAGAATAACACACCGACCGTGTGTAACATTTCTTTTTCATCTTATCTTCTCTCCGCTCGCGATTTATCGCGCTTCCGTTATTATTATTATTATTATTATTATTATTATTATCGACGACATCTCTCTGGGACTTAAGAGTATCCAGGAAGAAGCGGGAGAATGCAAATCGATCGGCCACTTCGACGGAATCGAACGTGATTCGATTTAGAGACACGAAGAAAGGGAGGGGGAGGAGGGACAGAGACGAGAGGAACGACGAGCCCCATCCCCTGTTCCTCTATCTTCCTCGATATCCAATAGAAGCCAGGATGAATATCGTATGGACGCGGCCCGTACATCATCACGGTGCAGTGGATTTACGGAGCTCCAAAGTGTGACCAGAAGGAGAAAGAGAGAGAGAGAGAGAGAGAGAGAGAGAAGGGTCTATACTCGGTTCCTAT